TTTGATAATAATATTTCAAAACCCTCCAAATATCACCGATAACTTTTCAATCCTTCTATGATCCCGTCTATAAAGAATAATAATTAATAGTGTAATTAAAATATAAATAATTATTGAATTTTATGGAAAATACCAACAAAATTAATCTATTGTTGTTCCTGTATGTAATTAACACTAAACAATATCAGGGAAAAGGAAACAATTCCAAAGCTCTGAGGAACATTTTATTTACAGGTATACAAACAGATTTTATCAATGGTATTAATGTTGTCAATATAATAGCATGTCAATGCACTTTTTTTCTTTTTTTAATCTTTTTTTTTCTATTGTAATTTCTTCAGTATATATCAAAGGAATATTCATGTCGGTGTTTTTTGATGGATATAATGAGGGAATATTCTATTGGTAGAATTGAATGCAATTTATCGACAAAAACATTCTATCGATATTGCTATTTGTATTTGTCAAATTTTTGATAGTGAAAAGAAAATAATACTTGCAATTGAAGGCTTCATGGTGGTAAGATTCATAATAGTAGCGATAGGGATAGGAAGGTTGTATGACAACAATAACATAAGAAGATTCCAAAGCAGAGAAAAAAGAAAAAGACTAAGGATTCACAACAGCAACAAGGTAAGTTTTCCAAGCAAAGGGAGAAGAAAAATTTTGCACCTTAGGTTGAGATGAAGAGTTCATTACAGGGAAGGAAAGAAAGTTTAAAGTGTAATGACTTTAATATCAACTTGAGAATAATATAAGATTTAACATATTAAGTAACTAACCTTTCTTGTTTATATATGTAGGGCATTGTACAATAGTTAATGAAGAGATTACAATTTAATAATACTAAAACTTTCCTTAATATATTTATATAAGTCTTTAATATATAATATACTATATTATTAAATTACACAAACATTTATTCTCTTTGTTAGGGCTAAGATGCAACTCATTAGCCTAAGCTCCAATATGAAATCCATTGCTTTTTCCATCAATCAATAACTAGCATAAAATGGGTTTTTTTTTTCTTTCAAACCAATTTGTGATCACCCAATTTTTGAACCATCATTTTCATCATTTTCTAAAAAAAAAATACAAAACTCATAAAAAAAACATATTTTCAACGCGATTAGACCAATGAACAACTATTTCATAATTTTCAACCTTTTTACATATTATGTTTTGCATTTGCAAGTTTAAAAAATAATAAATAATATTTAAAGTCTTGTGGGTTTGTGATTGTTGCACAACAACCCTAATGGTATGATATCATCATGGAATTTATTTTTATGATGAAATAAGGTTGAAAATTAATACCTCGCAATGAGGGTGGAAGGATTGGATCGTAAAAGCTTTATTTGATGCATAATAGTTTGATCTTGATGTGGATTTCAATATAAGTTTGATGTTTTGTGAATTTTAATGTGCACTAATTTGTTTGTTAAATTATGATTTTTGGTGATGTTATTTTTAAATTGTAAATTTTATTATGTGTAGTCATTTTTTTGTTGTTGTGAAATTTGTATATGCATGCCTGATTTTCATTATGTTTAATTTTTTTCATGATGAATCTTTTTAAAGTGTTTCCATATAAAAAGCTAGAAAAACATAAAAATCTATGAATATAAAAAAATGACATGTTTATTTTTTTTATTTGTATATTTAGAATATGCAAACTTTAGCATGTAAGAACATTAAACATATTTTATCATTGAAAATAAATAACAATGTAGCTTACCTTAAATATGATGTATAAAATGATGTTTATCTTCTATATTACATAACTAGCCTCTCACCTAGATCCTTTAAAAACTAATTAGGGTTTATAGTTATTATAAAACTAGTTGGTGAGTTTTTTTTGTATTTTTTTACCCTTTTTACATGTAGCTCACCTTGATGTCCCCTTCAACACCACTAATCCAAACCCCCAAAGCACCAAACTTTTGTAGTTTTGAAGACCCCATTTTAGTACTCATTTCACTAGAGTTAGAATTTTCAAGTTCCCTTAAAAGGGGTTTTTTTATTCATCCTGGTAACCAAAACCCACAACTTGATTTGACTGAAAATAAATTCAATCTGACAAAGAAAATAATTTTGTTTTTTATCCTCTTTTATGTTTTTACTTAGTAAATTAATTCTAGCCTCCAAGAAGAATCCAAAGACTAAAGAACCCTAATTCAACAAAAACCCAACCTCTCATTCTCCAAAAATAAGTTTTGTCATAATGAATCTGGATGAAACGAATATGAGAATCTAGCAACAAGAAGAGATAACCATGATAAACGATGAAATCATATGAGAGAAATTGATTACAATCTTCTCATTGATTACAATCACTAGGTTTTTTTAGTTCGATTTGGGTTTAGAAAGAGAAAGAAATTGATTTTTCAATGAGAAGTTTTTTAGTTTATTGATGAGAAAGAAGAAGTTATCTATTATTTGGGTTGATTTTTATTGTAATATATATAGGAGTATTTTGGTATTTCTATTGAATTTAGAATTTTGCTTTGACATATGATGGAAATTGTAATTTTTCAAAACTTGATAAGCAAGTGGAATTTTGATCGAACTATAAAATATTATGGGTAATTTTTCATTTAATATTTTAATACTTAAGGGCTCTTTAGTTATTAATTAGAAAATAATGACAATCTCATAAATAATTTAAACTGTTTTGTTAATTGTTTTTAATGAAGATATAAATTATTGTACAACTTTAAAAATTATTGATTCTAATATAAATTATAATTTTTAAAAGAATGAAGATAAAGTGAAAAATAATAATTAAATTATAAATGAAAAGTCACACTTGGCATCCTAATGTATGGCATGAATTGCAATTATATGGTGCAGGAAATTTGATGAAATAAGACCTTTTTAAACAATTTATGAATAGCTATGTTGCCTTTTCTCTTAGAAGAAATCACCCCCACTTTCTCTCAACTATATATTTTTTTTGAATGAAATTCATATCCAAATCAATTAATTTTGTTGAATTTGAGTTTATCAATAACCATTTATTTTTCAAAAATTCCTAATAGTTAATTAGTGGCATTTTTATTATTTTTGAGTTTCAATGGTTCTTTAGTTATTATATAAATTATATTAGTAAACCTACAAGATATTAAGTATTGGCACATTTATAAATTTAATCACAATTCAAACTGGTCCTTGTAATTTCAAAGATAATTACTTTTCTCTAAAATCATTTTTTCTCGGTTGAAAATACAAGATGAGGTTTGTTTTTATCCTTATATTATATAAATATCATGTTAGAAGTTAAAAGATATATGTCAAATCTTGCATTCACTCATGCAAAAACCAGGGAAGGTGACCCATACAAATCATAACGTACCAATAATATATAAATCTTGTTTTACATATGAAAGTAATATTGGTTTTGAATATTATAAATGTAGTAAAAATAATAAAAAAAATTACATAAGAATCCTATTTATTTTATACAAATCTAGAATTGTTTAAGAATTTATTACTTGGGAGATTTAATCTTCTTTGATTTTCAATAATTCTTTAAAATAGGTTGTTACAAACCACAAGTCATTTAATTATTTGGTCTCAAATAATAATCCACATGAACCATTAATAAATTATTTTTCTAAATTTCTATTTAAGAAAGAGATTGTTATTTGTAGAGTGCTAACTCTCTGTTATATTACTTATATAGTTTTTTCTGTCTAATGGACACTCACTCCTTGAAAAAAATAAGAGGCACAATATATTATTTATAAAAAAAATATGAAAACCCTATAAATTGGTAAGTATCATTTTGTATCTTATTATTTAAGGATAATTTTAGAAATTTAATCAATAAATTCCTTATTTGATTATTTTAGGACTAGAATTATTATCCCTGAAATAAATACATTTCAATGCTTAATTTCAAAACTTATTTTCAATCAAGTCACATTTGATTAATTATCTCGGTTTAATTTTTAACTAATTATTCTTAATATTTGTGACCCATTATGTGCTTAATTTCTAACTCTTTTCAAATTTCATTTTACCTTGACCGATGATTTCTCAGTTAATACTATTTGATAACAGATAAAACATTTTCTTTAACTATCCTAGAATGATGAATTTTCTATTGATCACTCAAATACTTTTATATAGTTCATATTATATTCATGTTATACTCAATGTTTGTCATTGGGATGAGTAAAAAAATTGAGAAAACCGATTAAACCGAGAAAATAAAAAAATAACTGAAAAAACCGAACCGAACCCAACCCAAAATAAAAAAACCCAAGAAAAAAATCGAGTCAAAACCAAGCCAAGCTGAAAAACCAAGCTAAATAGAAAAAATTAAGCCAAACCAAGCTAAAGTAGAAAAATCAAGCCAAACTGGTTTAAAGTAGTTTTTGTCCTGAAAGATCAAACAGAAATCGGTTGATTTGAACCTTTATATAATAAGCACGTATATATTAGTTTTATGTATCCTTTATATATTAGTTTATAAGAATAATTACACCTTTTATTAAAGAAAAAAAACATAATATATATCAATCTCTACAACTCTAATAAATATTCAATATTTAAGAGAGTATCGATCATAAATATTTTAAAAATAATACTTTAATGCAATAATAATCTAATAATTATAACAACTTTATAATTTCAATTGCAAAATATTTTTTTTCCATAAACATTATCTTTATTCTAGATTTATAAATCAAATATTATATTTATTAATATAATATTATATAAATATTAAAAATAAATTAACTTTTTGTTAATAATAAATATATATTTACACAAATATAATAATAATATTATATAACTCCATGATATATTAAACTAACAAGGCAAAGGCATTAACTTTTTGTTAATTGATTCAATAAATAAATAAATAAATGATCTGGATTTAATACAAAAAACGGAACAACTATTTTCTAGGTAAGTCCTCAAATCGACTATGACAGGTATAACACAGAGGTTCTGATCACTCTCAACAATTAGAAATTTCTACGAGGATAAACTAAGGAACACCATCTTTTTATAGCAAAGCTAAAAGAAAGTTGCAATAAGTTTAGATTACGAAAACATTTATTATCTTCAGAAGTTCAGATGGTGTACAAACTCTTATTCTCTTCAGAAGTTCAGATAGTGTACAAACTACTACAGTTTTCTAAGACTTCAAAGGGAGCTGAAATCCACGAGTAGAAGCAAGACAGCATGGCATGGCAGCATGCCTTCTACACAGCTTTCCATGATGTATGAGGTGGAGTATCTGAATGCTTGAATGTAGACAGGCCATCGCCATACCGATCTCCCCTTACATCATCACCCTGGTGGTGTACCCAGGCCAACGCCAGCTGAGATGAAGTGCACTGTTTCCTTGCTGCGATTTCATTAACCCGCTCAAATAGTTGTGTATTATGTTTAAGATTTTCAGGTCGGAACCGGGGCAAACCCTGAGACAATTGAAACACTAGTTAATACCAGCAGCTAAGCCTGACGCAACTCATCAAGAAGAAAGCATCATAGATTATAGTTTATGCAACATGTCCTTCTTGCCATAACAAAACTTCCTAGTACTAAAAGCAAACCATCATGATATTGTATACAACGCAGCTTTCTATGGGTGCAAGCATGCCAAATTTCCATGTACAAGGCGAGTGAGCAGATTTTACGATTTCAAAAGTAATGAAGATTGAATATTAGAGAGAGATGTAAGCAAAACAATAAGCATGCAGAGTTCTTTGTTTGGACATAGGACAAACTAAAGCCACCTGATTAATACAAGGAGATCCCGTAAATCTGTGTATTATTTGATTGAATCTCTAAGCAATCCAAGTGCATAGCATATTTGTAGGAATAATGCAAATGTGAAAGAACTGCTAGGTAAAATGATCTCAAAGCTAAACTTTTACTTTGTGCAAGTTTCTTCTATGGAGTTTAGACCACCAAACCACTCCACAAGATGGAAGAGACTATTTTTTGAGGCATCTAAGCTAACCAATATATTGTCAAAAACTCGTTACTTGAAAGTTTATTAGGTGAGTTTTCAAGAACAGTTTTATATTATTCCGTAACGCATATAACTGTCAAAGGAGGAAATGTGATTTGTGACATTCCTTCCTTTCCAAACTGCAAAAGATCATGCTTGTACAATTGGTTATTTACTGGACAGGTATTATACAGATCACAAACTCTATATTCAAAAAGAACAGAACCAACCTTTCTGAAGTCACCATCTGTAAGGCTCTCAACCAACTTAGGCCCAGTGGAAAAGAATCCCCGTCCTAGAGGACTGTAAGCAACAATCCCAATGCCAAGTTCTCTGAACCATTAGAATGATAAGATCACAATCTGGATATCTAAGGCATCCCATAAACAGCCTAAGTTTTCGGTTATTTTGATTTCCGAAGGAAATTAGTTTTTCTCATCAATGCCTCACCTGCAGGTAGGAACAATCTCTTCCTCCACATCTCTAGACCACAGTGACCACTCCAACTGCACGGCTGTTATCGGATGAACAGCGTGAGCTCTTCTGATTGTTGAAGCAGAGGCCTCAGACAGACCTATATACTTTATTTTACCTTCTTCAACTAGTTTCTTGAGTTCCCCCATCTAGCAAAGAAAAGAACTATAAGTGCACAACTGCGAGACATTTTTGAGCTAGAATGCAGGGACAGTACCCAATAGTAGCATTGTCAGAATCCAGCTACGAAAGAGACCATTGCAAGATGTCAATGCACATAATGAGCATGACGGTATCATCAGTACCGTGTCTAATCTATAATTTTAGTGGGTTTATGCTGAAGTTTTAGGATTTTTGGATATTCCGGTAACAGATTCTGGAAAATATAGCATCAAGTAAAAGAAAATTCTCTAACTATCAACATAGCCATCGAACGATCAAGATTAATCAGAACAATATTCAGAAACAAAAACAATTAAAGAGAAATACCGTGGCTTCAATAGGTACGCTGGTATCAATGCGATGTTGGTAATAAAGATCAATGCAGTCAAGTTGAAGGCGTTTCAAGCTGGCCTCGCAAGCAGCTCTCACATAAGCAGGATCCCCTCGAACCTCGAAAGTGCCATCCTTAAAGCTGATGCCAAATTTGGTGGCCAATTCAACTCTCTGTCGTAATCCTCCCGCCTTCAAGGCCTTGCCCAGAAGGATTTCGTTGGTGTGGGGTCCATAGACATCAGAGGTGTCGAGTAGAGTGACCCCGGTGTTGACAGCATGGTGGATGAGGGCGATCATGTCCGATTCAGGCTTTGGAGGACCGTAGAAGGCAGACATGCCCATGCATCCAAGTCCCTGTGCTGATACTTCAAGACCCTGTGAGCCCAGCTTGATCCTTTTCACTGTTGCCATCTCTCTTGTTCTTATTAATTTGCTTCTCAAGAATGACGAACTCAGTATGTGTACGAGTTCTCGGCTCAGCGTCGCAAATAAAAGGAAACCGCCATAAATAGAGGAAGTGAGAGAAGAGACTTGTCATCCAAGAACAATTTCTAACGTAAGCATATACGTAATTGATGATGTTTGAGCTTACTTTCGCTTGAATTGATACTGTGAGCCGCCGCTTAAGATTCATCGTTAATAATATAAATTATGAAATGAATTTGAATTCCTTGATATCAATATTAAAAAAAACTAAAACTTGTCGATATTTTAAAATAGCATAAAATATCATTTTTTACGAGTGAATTTATTATAGATTATACTGTTCTGAACTATAAAACAAATATGATAGATTATAAATGAATTTACTATGAACTGAATTATTGGTGAGGACATATAAGTAAGCTGCAGCCTACAGAATCCAT